CAGGAGTAATCCTGGAATATTTATAGGGCCGTATGCAGCAGTTCCCAGCCGGCAACTTTCCCAAAAGCTGCTCCTGAAGGCACTGCCCACGAAAGTAGCGGATGCGTACAAAAACGCAGTTTTGGGGACCCATCCCCAGCTAGGGTGAACCGTGCGTTGCGTAGATTTCAAAAATTTCACGAACCCCATCCCCAATCACCACCCTCACCACCACGACTGTTTCGATACTACTGATTCCGAGACCAGTCGACAAGCTCACAGCCCTCTTTTCCTCCAAGGAGCCGTCGAGCGCGGGTATTTCTTGCTTCTTTCATAATGTTTTTACCAAAATTGCCAGAAACACCTTTTGACCTTCACCAACCCAAGTGGGACTCTTCCACTTCAGAAAAACTTCAAATACGACCCTAAAAATCCTCATTGTGATCTGCACAGTTCGCGGTTGACCATGTCCCGGGCTAATGACTTGCTGCATACGGCACCTGGAATAAAAGCACTTTTTTGGGCTGAGATTCATAGTGAGAAAGGACCTTTCCTATTTGGAAAAGTTACGGCTTCTCGTCTCATAAGAGAAACCGCTCAATTTATCAATGCAGAGCCACTCAGTTTTCGTTAGTGTGACACCGTTTTATCGAATTTCAATTGTTTTTCTTCAATGCTTTCGCATGTTTGCCTCTAGTAACCGCCTTAAATTCCGGTGGTCGGCTATCCGACACCGTTCTTCGGCTTTATCCCTGTCGAAAAGGGAGCGCCCAGTATGCTTTTTTCGTATTCACTACCAGTCAGCAACACCTCTACACTCATAGCTCATCATATAACCCTAGGCGCTCCTCATGTAATCAATTGATTGTTGTCATTCTGTAGCGTAACCTGAAGAGTCACGATTTTCACTTAATCAATGTTGTTCTGAATCAGACTAGCCTGTATATTTGAAGTTTTCAATAAAAGTTTAATAAATCCCTTCACTTATAGTCCCGTTCCCTTATAAACTGTCATATGTCCAACTTAAGAATTATTACTGAATCGTTGTGACTGTAGAGCTCGGGTATTCATGGTCACT